TGATACAAAATACCATGGTTCATAAGCTATTTCATGCTTGTTTAATTCTTTCATTATAGAAAAGAAATTATGTCATCACCTGGAAGTCGGATAAAATAACTTTTCAAAGCCAACCGCTAAAATTTAGAAGTACAATATAAAACGTAACTTTTCATGACTAATTTACGCCAACTTCGTATTTTTCGATCTGGCAATACCAATGTACACACACTAAAACTGGAACGACTTTTGAAATACATGGAGATAACAAACGATTTTCAAGCTCAAATTTTCATTAAATAATACAAAATAGGATCAAAGTGAGCATCCCCTGCCGACTGGCCACACCCACTGTTGGCTCTTTGTCATTATTGGGTAATGACGGAAAATTCATCGACATTTCAGTATATAGATAATGGTCCAACAATAAGTTTGAAAAAGTTAGTCAGCAATTGACTTAATGATGAATTATATATACTGACAAGGTCATTGTTTCGACCATAGAATTTACCAACTTCAGAACTGTGGCTCTCCGGAAAAAAATATTAACAGACCGGACAGCTACAGTGCCACCCATTGAAAAAAGGAGTAAATTTATTGCACATAAAAATGTGAGCAATTTTCGGATTTATTTCTTCTTTTTTTCAAACTGCTCAAATATTACTAGCCGTGCGTCGTTAACATATTCTTACAACTTATTCTTGAAATATTTCCTCAGCAAAACATTTTTTCAAGCATTGTAAATGACCCTATTATGCCTTACATTGAAAAGTCGAGAGAGAAAAAAAATGCCCATTTACACTGCCATTTTCGACGGTAAGATAGTTCGGATCAACGCGCATTATGCAGCCATCACATGCGAGGGAATTAGATAGAGGTCAAAGGCATATTTAGATATCGAGCTTTTGTTCAGTTGAGATTAGAATATTTGCACAATTTAAACCGATATAAAGTGCAACTTTTGTGCGTTACAAATAATCAGGTTTTTTCTATGGGTGGCACTGTAGTTCTCTGATCCATCCATCCCAATTTTTTTTCAGACCAGTGAGCTACAGATCGGCAGCTAAAAGCTTACGAAATAAGATAAGTGATGACTTTATAGAAGATTGGTGATATTCTTGTTTCTGCAATTTGTCTGTCAATAATTAACCTCGTTTTAGAAATTGGCCATATGTAGAGCATGCTTTTACGTATCGAACTCACTAAGAGCTATAACGAAGTACCGTATGATACCAGTAATGATCAACTTTAATTAGATTTGGGAAATATCATGTGCACGTGGTCATGATATTATAAACGACATTTATCACGTAAATTTATTATTCAATCAAAAAAGCTAATAATTGAAAATTATCTGATTTTCTGTTTGGACTTGTTTAGACTTGTTGTCACGTGGTATGACAGCCATGTAATTTTAGTTAAATATATTTGCCGTATTGAAGATATTTGTAAAAAATCTAACTATAAGGATAAAACCATTTAAATCACTGAGTTAACTCAGTTTAGTTTATAGATATCTGACATGCTCCTACCTCATAATTGTATTTTGTACGCGGCCGCAAAGAGGCGGTCGGTTATCTGATTTGAAAGTTTGAAGTCGTCGTGCATTTCTGCGGAGTTAAAACAATTTAAATAAAAATATTTAGCATTCATATTATAGAATATTAAACAAAGATTGTCTAAATGTTTAACAAAAAGAACAATAACTATAAAATATATTTTTTTATAAATAATGGGGTAAATGTTTCATCCAATCCTGATTGACAAACTCTGACATGAATGAAGTTCGGAGAAAATTAGCATGAGTGTTAAGCATAGTCTAAAGCAGTGACCACCGTTGTATATCAACAATTTTACTTTCTCCTTTTTAACCACTTCTGTGCCACAGGGCCGATTTTGGGCCGATCACACAGTTGCGTAGAGTGCCACGGGGCCGATTTTGGGCCGATTTTATTGAAATGAATTGTGACTTTGTATTTCTTTTACTTCTATTCAACGTAAATAATTATTGAACTTTTATATCTTCTTATTGCATAACATTAAAGTTTTTATGGCTTATTAGTAGAATATCATGAAAATTTCAGGCAAATATATGGATAAACAAAGTAATACTAGTTTCATTCCAGCGATGACGCCATGATTTTTCGAAATAAATTAGTTGTAGCTTATAGTATCGGTATTATTACTATTGAATATGCTCAATGAACACGATTTCATTTCAAATGTATATTTTCATAATATTATAAATTCAGTATATTAAGGTAATACTCGTCTATTTAGCAGCAACGGTTAGAATCAACGTCATTTTACGTACATGACGTCATAATAACAAGTACATGTACGTGCAAGCCAAACCTTCAGAAAACGTTCCGAGTTTACAGATTACCACTAACTCTTGAGGCATTTAAATTGATTGACTGATTGTTTAATTCCGTGATTTAATATTGTCATGTTTATTTATTTTATTTTGTTGCGTATGAACAAATTAAAATTTATTTCCTGTTTCGTTTTGTTTCCTGTGTTCGATGTATTTTTTGTAAATTTTCTAAATGCAGATTTTACATGCTGCTACTCAACTAAAAGCACCTGATAATTAAACATATTGAATAGATATTGAAAAGATAACCAAAGCTAATAAGTTTAAATGTTTGTTTTTGCTTTAATTGTATTCCGAAATTTTAATTTTAATCAATATTTCTTTTTTATTTGTTCCGTATTGACTTTATTTATTACATACCTGTATAACTTTCCATATTTCATAATTTTTTTAACAAAACACATGAATTCAATGTATTACAGTGAAAGGGGTAATCATGATCAGTTTGATATGACCATTTTTCTTCCAGAATTTTAATGGAAAATAAATGACGCAATTTTATTGAAATTTCTAATGAGAAAAAACACATATATCGCAAATGAATGTGACAATCGATTTTCGAAAAAAGATTTTTTTTTTATTTATTTTGTTACAATGCTATTGATCTTTCTATTTTCATTGTGTAGGATATATCCTAAATATATTCCTTACACTAGTGTGTCAATTTGAACAGGAGTACAGATTATTTAGATTTTTGCTAGGAAAGTAAAAATTGCGTCTCCCTCTGATGATGACTATACAAAATCAAGTTTACGTGATCAAATAATACAAAATGTTGTCATATATATTTCTGATTTTGTTGTATTTATTTAAGGAATGTTTTTAAGTTTTGTGTGAGTTATGAGAAATATGCTTACGGACAAGTCTGTGTGATTCATACACCAATAATTCACACTAAACTTAAAAACATTTCTTATATTTATATTTTACATGTTTGGAAGAAACTAATATATACTCAATATTTGAATTTCTCGCTGCCCTATATCGTTGCATTTTTACTAACGTCGCTGCAGCCTCATTGTGACGTCACGTTTACGCACGTTTCTCTGTGTATATTTCTACGCGTGAGTATACACGAAAATGGTTTTCATATCAATTTCACAGTTGGCTTAGCAGAAAAACACAGCGAATGTAAATATTTTAAAACGGCGTGTACATTTACACATTTCTAATGGAAAATTAAAAAAAATATTATGAAATATTGATTTCTTAAAAGCTCAGAATCTTACGAAATTTTTTTCCTGGAGACTAGGATAAAGCGCGTTTTACAAAGTGACAAGCATTTTCCTGCCGCATCTCAACACCAAAACAAAAAGAAATGTAGTGTTGGTTCTAGAGGGAATTGGAGGGGGGTTAACATCCTCTGAGAGAGAGCGAGCAGGCCCAGATATTTGTTGCATTTTTATTAAAGTAAAACTGTCTATAGTTAAAGCTTACACTTTAGTTTTGTACTTTTTATGTAAAAACTACTTAAAGATCAAACCACCAGAATTCGTTTGTACCAAACTGATTGTTGAGACGCAGAGGACTATGGATAGTTTGCTTAAACATGTAATATTGTACATGTATTATACATGAAGAAAATCAGCAATGTCGCATGCAAGTGTTTCATGTTACGGGGATATTTTAACAGATAAATATAAGAAATTTTAATATTAACAGATCACGCAAATTTCAGTTCCTATTTATTTTATGAAAGGAATTTTTATTGGTTTGCGGCCGATTTTTGACGCTTGTGTCAGTTTACTGTAAATGTATTATATTTAGCATGTACGATAATTGGCGGAAATCGATTTTTGAGCAAGTTGGCGTAGATTTGATTTAGTGCATTTCTTCATATTCTTATTTATGTGTTTATGTACAAGACATTTAGTGTTGTACTTGATTTAGCGGTTGCTGGATTCCGCCAAAGCCGCTAAAAAGAATACACGGCCAAATGTAATACATTTACAGTATGTTTCTTGTAAGTGGTGTGTTCCCATATTTACATTTTATAATTTATCACTGTCAGGCCTGATTTTAAAGAACTCAGCTTGACTACGATTTATTTCTCTTTATAACCAAGATTCTAAATATTTGCACACAAGAACTAAGTGAATGGTGTATTTGGGCCTATCAAAAATTCTTTATAAACAGGTGGTTCCTTTAATTGAGAGCTTTAAAACCTAGATTAACTGCATTTTTGATTTTTGTTTTCTTAAGTCAGCTGTAATTCATCTAAGACGTATAGAAAGTACATAAATGTGAGGAACTCTTGATTTACTCGTATCAGAAGCTAGTTTCTTAAAATAAGAAATGACGGATTTGGAGAAAATTAAAAACTCTGTTAACACATACCCTCAGTCATATAAACATGCACAAAATTGATTTTAAGAACGCCTTTTTTTATTTCCGGATCTCATGTATGTACATTTTATTATGTGTCAAGTATATAGCAAATTATATAAAACATGTAAAGAAAAAATGAACACCTTCAATTAGCACCAAATTTGCGATTATAAAACAAAATTTTTTATACAAATATATGTAGCGTCCATCCTACAATATGCAATACACTGTAAAGTCATAAATTCATAAAAATTGAAACTTATATGTATATTAGGCATTAAAAAATAGATTGATTAAAATATAATCATGTTTCCGCTAACACATCTTGCAGAAAAATATCAATCAAGTTCCCGAAAAAAAGAACTTTTGACCTCTACTCTCAAATGTGTTTGATACAACATTCAAAAAACATTCATTTTAGCTAGCTGTGAAATATTCATCCCCTGTGGTTAGTATTAGAATTCATCGTGAATGCTTTTGCAAACTCTCCTCCAGAAAACTGAATCCCCGTGTTCATCGTTCGGAAATTCAATGTATGACCTTTGAATGATAAGGTCCATGATACCCAAGGGTATTTTATCTACGGGAACAACATCATAAAATACCAAAAGGAGAACGCCTTCATTTTCTCGAGAATAGATGTCTTCCATCTTTGCAATGTGTAGCTCATACATACACCAACTGGATTTGATGAAGTTTGGAGACAATATAGCGATAGTCTTTTTACTTTTGTTGACGGCAGTGATAATATTTTCGCATATATCATATCCTGGAACAAAATCTCGATGGTGAATACATAAACGTATTCCATTGTTTTCTTCTAATTCCAACATCATTTTCTGAACAAACGGAAAATCGTCATCGGCATAGGAAACAAAGGCATCATATTTAAAATCTGATTGGCTATCACTTCTTACAGCTTTATATCCATGGTAACGGCTTTTAGTCATATAGTAAAAATAACGAAGTTTCCATCTGTATCTGTATAGTAGCCCACATAGTAGAATGACAAAGAACAGGAGAATGATGAATGACAAAGTGATGATCAAATACGTGTATGAATTGCATTCTTTTTTTAGTTTGTCGATATTTTCTTTAATTTTTGAAAACACGAATTGGTCAACCTGTGATGAAGCCGTGCAGGAATAATTTTCAAATGACTCAAAACTGATTCTTTTAGTTTCCTGACTTTTAACCATCCACTGAAGAAATGACAGTGTTTTACAAGTACATGCAATTGGGTTTCTGAAAAGATTTAGAGTTAAACTGACTTTATCTGTTTGTCGGTCAATGTCTTCCATATTTGTATCGGAAAGAAACTGGATTTGGTTTCCAGATAAATCAAGGAATTGTAATTGTTTTAAGTTAAATAGATGAAAACCCACTGCACTAAGTGCATTATCGGCAAGATTCAAATATTTTAGGTTTTGGAGGTCTTTGAAAACTTGTTTTGGTAGATTTGAAATTTTGTTTCCTCTAAGATCTAAGCGAATTAAGTTTGTAAGATTTTCCAATATTTGACCTTTGGTATCTAGTTGCAAACTAGAGCCCAAGAAGTTATCGCTTAAATATAACTCTGAGAGATTGCTGAAGAAATTAAAAAATGATTTGGATACTGAGCTGCAAAAATTGTTTGACAAGTTCAGTATTCGGAGTTTTTCAGCTCCTCTGATGGGCCCTTTCCAGGAAAAGAAGGCATTGCCCTGCAGATATAACTCCTCCACATGGTTTTTCTTACAATGTATGGCTGGTATTTCATATCGTGCTCCGCTTTCGTTGTAAAAAATCTTTTTCATATTTGGCGGTACTGGCAAAATGTATACTTCATTTGTACTGCTTTGAAAACTTTTCTGTAGATATCTCGTAAAATGTGTCCTTTTTCTTTTCTTATATACTTTTAACAACTTTGGCAACTCACTTGCCTTTTGGATGCAAGCATGAGAGAAATGAAAGATGTTTGTTAAATGATTGTCTTTCTTTTCATGCCGACAAATTACGTTGTTGATCTTTTTATTGGGAGCATGAGAGAAATGTTGCAAACTTGCATTAATCCATTCTAAACTTTTCAAAGTTTCAAGTTCTAAAACATATTGACCATAAGTCAGTCTGTTGTCAGCAATCGAAATTTTCCGCAGGGTTTTTGGAATATGTGCTACGGTTCCTTCTTCAAGAGCTTCAATTCTGTTGCTTGACACGTGTACTTCTGTAAGGTTGGTATGTTTCAGATATTCAATATCTTTAATTTTGACTTCTGTACTTAATCCGAATGTGTCGTGAATTTTATTCAAGGAAATGGTCGAAATAGTTGAATTTTGAAGACCGTATGTCAAAACTGGCATAATTCTGAAAGTCAATTCATTATTGTTCGATAAATCAATCTTTTTGATATTGATTAAATCTGAAAAAAGATTCCTACTTAAATTTTCAGTCATCCGAAATTTATTGGAGTTCAGTTTTAAAACTGACAGCTGCCGCAGTCCCTTGAAAGAGTCGTTTCTAAATTTCTTGATAAGGTTGTAGGAAAGATCCAAATGGATAACGTTGTCTGGAAGCATTGTCCTATATGGGAGTTGTGTTAATCGGTTGTGGCTGAGATTAATTCTTGTTACATTTGACCAGAAATAGGGCGATCTTCTCAGGCCAAGATTAGAACAATCGGTTTGGATATTATTAAAATAATAAAAACATCTACACTTTGGTTCAAACGGACAGTTATGCGCATTTCCTCCAGTCAGCAGAAAAACACCGAAAGCTATAATTACCTGATATCCGGCACCCATTTCCATAATACTGAAATAAATTTATAGAATCAAATATTGATGCATGAACGTTAGAATGTAAAAAGCATTGTTGTTTCATTGGTAAAAATATGTTATGACATACAATATTAAACATGTTTACTACGTTTAGCTTTACTTTTGCCTCATCTGCTTATAACACAGGGTTGTTTGCCATGAAGATACTCTTGATACACTCGATATAGCTAAGCCAGTGAAGGTGTTGAACATATTTTTAGTAATTTTGATAAATTTTCTTAATTGTTTTTTGCATGTGTCTGTTTCCGGGAGGATTTCCCACTTTTGCTAACTTATAACATAACATATATTGATTTTCTTGATTATGAGTTTTCACAAGAAAAAGATTCTGCTGCTCAGAAAAATTACTCTCCATTTTTCATCGTGAAAAATACCGTACAAAACTATCACGTTTATGCCATCTTTTAAATTTGTTATAATTTTTTAAAAATAAAATTGATGGCTTCACTTGACCCTCGAATCTCTCAATCTCTTGCACAAATATAAGAGGATTATTGCAAGCGATTGATTTGAGTCTCCTTCATTTGAAGTTACCGTAAGTGTGATTATTCATACCATGACTGAACTGAATTGGTCAGAGAATTTGTCCTTCGACATATGACTATGAGATAATTTGAAATACATTTCATTCGAGATTTGATATTAAGTGTGAACAACATGTTGAGAAATAGAAATATTTATTTGGACAGACAACATATATTAGGCCTTCCAACTAATTTTTCAAGTTGCACATATGGTAAAAAAAAAACATTGCATAAATAGATTTATAGGTACATGAAATTATCAAAAAAGGTAATAACTTATGCATACTTTTCATTACATCATTAAAAAGTTTAATAATTCATAACTGACTTTTCCGATGTTGTGACACTTGGGAAATGCTAAATACTGCTTTGCGAAGAAACAATTATTAGATACCCTGTGCCTGCTCTAAACATGTTTCTGCAGTGAGTTATCGTTTATAAAACCGAACCCTAGCGGCAGTTAAAAGGCCTACATATATGCCACGCTGCAGATTGTAAAAAGCATTAAAAAAATAAGTCTACATGCAGAATGTAAACATTTAAACGGAGTATATTTATGATGAGATAAGAAAAACTCACCAAAGCAAGTGATTTTTTTTAGGATAATGTATTGCAGTACTGTTGTATTTTTCCCTCTTTCCCCATCGACATTTCGATATCATTGAAAAAATGAAAAGAAAAGCCTGAGATAAAAAGAAAATATTGAGAATAAAGTGAATGTTTGCTGATTGGATGAAAATGTCGGTTAGATTTAAATGGATATTTTTAATAATAAAAGTATTAAGCAGAGAATTTAAACTTCCTTATTCTATATAAAATGTTGTTGCTATAGAACTGTGCTTTTTATACACGAAATAAACATGCATACATAAAGTATAAGATGTTGATGGAAATAAAAACTTTGTTTTGATATAATGTTTACACAATTGTTCTTTTGTATGAATTACCTGTCCCTTGAACAAATAGTCAAAAAACAAAATACGAACATAACAAAGGTTTTGAAAAAGATCTTGTTATTTCGTTAAACTCTCGACGTAAGTGCTACTGCATTAAAGCGAACAGTGTCAGAATCTTCATTAAGGTATCCGATCCATAATAGCCTCAGATTCAATGAATTTGAATGCATAACAAATATATATTGGCTGTATACTCAGTATATGTAGACTTAATCTTTATATCTTAGACTCAATATGTAAGAGCGGAATGTGTCCTAATTTTTTACCTTGGCCCGTCCTTGAAGAGTTATCCCCCTTTGCTTTTGATCAATAAAATTTATTTCTAAAAAAATCGATCTGGTGAAAAATTATTTTTTAATTGTTTTTCTATTCTTAATAATAATATGCATCTATTCACCAAAGCATTTTTTTGATATTCATAGTATTTAATTTTTTATTTTAAAAAATATGCTTTTTCCCATAAACTTCAATGCATTCTTAATTAATTACTGCTCGGGTAATTATATTTTTGAAAATTTCTCCTGGTAAATCCTTTTCTACTCTAAACTGCTTTGAATTAGTCATAGAATATTTCATATAGGATGGATATTTAAGGTTAGAAAATTTTGTCCTTTTATGGATTGGATACCTTAAATTATTACAATTTTGATTCTATAAATTTCAAAAGCCAACGACTTTATTGTTCATTGCATATTTATGCTTATACTCATTAGCGCAAGCGATTATACACCTTTTTGACACACTTAGTGTATTTAAAGAAGGAAAGTCTTTTTAAAAATGCATATTAAAGTATTTACCTGTCCTAAAAAAGATTTTGATAGATTAGAAGAGCTGGGTATAATTAAAGTCCAATGTAATCAAAATAGAAGATCGAGCCAATGAGGAAAGGTTCAAGATTATATCCAAAAGAATAAATTAAAGAGGTGGTGACGAAAATGCTTGCTTTCCAACGACAAAAGACTCTCCAGCAAAATAAATATAAAAACGTATTTATACATGTATACAGGATACAGTAATTAAGGTAGGACACAATAAATTGGACAAATTTTTTCCTCAAATTCAATTTTTCTGAAACTTTGACATATCGTTCTAGGATACAAAATCACTCTTTATATATGATATGAAAGAAATTCAACTACATATTTTTTGCCCCTACAGTCTGAAATATGGCCTATCAGGCCCCTGTAAGAAGGTTGTGAAATCCGACATTCGATTTGAGAATTAGCCTTATTTTAGAAATATCAATTGATCTATTACAAATTTGTGTAATACTTTTAATAAAGATAACCTTTTTGGTACTTGAAATCAGTAAGTCATATTGATACGTGGAAATTTGAGTACAAATATGAAGTAAAAAAAGAACATACAAAGCGTTGGAATTGAAAATTCACATGTAAATTTCCAACAGTTTAAGTTTTCTTAACAGAAAATGTATGATTCAATTTTTACAAAAAATCAACAGAATGATTCAAATGGATCTTAGAATAAAATGTGTAAAAATAAAATAAATTGAACCGGTGGCTTCAGATATTTTGGCGATTTAAAAAAAAATCAATGGCAAAAAAACTAAAAGATTCAGTAGATGACGTCACAATATATGACCTGTGACCTTTTGATATGACATTGACCTTTGTAGTACATAAAGAATGAAGACTCCTTATATATGTGTCCAAATATCAAACCTCTACTATTTATTGAACAAAAGTTACACTTCATTTTATAACAGACTCTTACATGCTTGTTTTTTGCACTAAGATAGCGTAAACACATTCCAAAATGTAAGCTCCCAAGTGACCAAAATATAGGATTCTCTGAATTTTTCAAAAAGTATGACGCAAACATGCCGAAACTTATCATTTTTCTTACAGGGTTCATTCATTGCTGTCAGTGTAGTATTATTCTTCTTTTTTTCTCTAGTACGTTTTAAGAAATGGGTTAAAATAGAATCCACGGTTGTTTTGTCCTACCTTAAGTTGTCGTGTTAGCTGGAGTTTTTAGGTCACTTTGTTTTGTTGTTGACTTTCTTATTTTTGTATTGGGGAAACACACGGTGGCTAAATATTCGACAATTTCTTTCTTTTTTTTTTAGTGTTTTAGGAAAATTTTTATTCGTGACAATGTATATTTTGAAGAAGATCAGATATAATTTAGTGTATAGTGTTTTTTTAAATTTAAATTGAAGGAAATAGAAAAGGGTAAAGTCGTACAGACATCCCTTTCAGAGTAATTATTTTCATATATTACAAACAAAATATAAACCCAAACCACTCTGTCCAACTTGGTTTTTCATACTGGTTGTTAATTCTTGAAAGTAATATCAAAGACAATTAAAAACTAAAACATAAATTAGTAAATCGTGGGGTAAGGGTGATCCAGATATCAACATTCCAACGGCTTTCCCTTCTTTCTCAATGGTCATTGTGGTAATGTTTGTGTTTTTTAGTGAAACCAGTTTTTAAAATTTTATAATTATCACAAAAATATGCTTATTACACAAATACGTGCCGCAAAGTTCAGATTTTTTGTTTTAAAGCTTCGTCATAGAACATTGGTTTTCATCGGTGATATTTAATTTTCTTTCAACAATTGTTGAGAAGAGTCATTTGTTGTAATGATTTTAAAGTGTCATACCATTCTATCGAGTAGTTTTTAAATAAATACATTTATTAGAGTGAACACCTAGATTTTTTTTAAATGTAGTTAAATTTATTTATTTTGCTTATTAGAGTATATAACAATGAATTTATTTGTTATTCTATAATATATAAAGAAAACTTGTTTCTTCCATCTGTTTTAAAGGGAAAAAAGATGTGAAGGATGACTCATTTTTAAGTTCTGCTGACCCCAGATAGCTACATTATACAGGTATGTCCTTACACATAGTACGAAGTAGAGCAATTTGTGGGGGCTTCGTAATTACTCTACAGACAACTTGGTATCACATGCCCATATGGTGAACTGCCAAGACTACCAATCTATCTTTCTCATCAATTATCATGAATATTTTTGGATATATATCACAATGAAAGAAAGTATTTCCTTGTCTAATTCTTGATCATATACCATGCCTATCATTATCTTGGCGGTTTTTTTTTCCATAAATTATAGAGTAGTAATTAGTAATTAAGAAACATTTTTGTCTCTTCATGGTAAACAATATATTATGGTTTGAAATTGCAGACTTGGTTTGAAAGAAAATTGTGCTTAAAGTTTCATCACCAAGTATTTCGGTGGTAATGATCAGAGATGATTAATGTGTCTTGAAAAAATTATATTTTGATATAGTTTGTACTCAATTGTTTTACTGATTCTATGTAATTTGTTTTGATTACTATCTTTTCGCAAGCTTTTTCTTCTTAGGTTTTGATTGTCTTTTTGATGTACCATCTTTTTGCCAACTTTTTTTTGTGATGTTGCCTTTTTTGTTTTGATGTGCCATCTTTTTGCTAACTTTTTAATATGGTGTTTTGATTGTCTTGTCTTGCAGATACTTTTTTCTAGTCATTTTTGGGGATCATACATTATCATATAATATATATTTTACGTAACTGATAAGCAAAGCTTGTGAATCTGCTCCCCTTCTTGTTTGTTAAATTGTTCACATTTATAACGTCATTTTAATAATTGACATTATTCATCTACATGAAAGTGTTTTATTTGACTTTTACAAGATTAGCAAAAACAAGCTGCGGTGATCTTGCATATAAGCATCAGAAGACATAAACTCATTTGATTGCTCAAGACCGGTATAAAATGTTCCAATTTAAATAGACATAACGAAAGTGAGATATTCAGTTTAGAAAAACATAGCAAAAGGGGGTTCTTTTTTAAAGCCACTCGATATTTTAAGTTTTCAACTGTACTTTACGGTGTGTTATGTTCTTTTTAGCTCACCTGAGCCGAAGGCTCAAGTGAGCTTTTCTGATCAAAATTTGTCCGTCGTCTGTCGTTGTCGTCGTTGTCGTTGTTGTCGTAAACTTTTCACATTTTCATCTTCTTCTCAAGAACCACTGGGCCGATTTCAACCAAACTTGGCACAAAGTATCCCTGGGTGAAGGGAATTCAAGTTTGTTCAAATGAAGGGCCACGCCCTTTTCCAAGGGGAGATAATCATAAATTTGTTAAAAATTAATGGCATTTTTAAAAAATCTTCTTCTCCAGAACCGATGGGCCAAGAAAGATGAAACTCATGTGGAAGCATCCTCAGGTAGTGTAAATTCAAGTTTGTTCATATCATGACCCCCGGGGCAAGGGTGGGGCCAAAATGGCCGACCCAAATTTTACATAGGAATATATAGGAAAAATCTTTAAAAATCTTCTTCTCCAGAACCACTGGGCCAGGAAAGATGAAACTCATGTGGAATCATCCTCAGGTAGTGTAGATTCAAATTTGTTCAAATCATGACCCCTGGGGCAAGGGTGGGGCCAAAATGGCTGACCCAAGTTTTACATAGGAACATATAGGAAAAATCTTTAAAAATCTTCTTCTCCAGAACCACTGGGCCAAAAAAGATGAAACTCATGTGGAATCATCCTCAGGTAGTGTAGATACAAGTTTGTTCAAATCATGACCCCCGGGGCAAGGATGGGGCAAAAATGGCTGACCCAAATTTTACATAGGAATATATAGGGAAATTTTTTAAAAATCTTCTTCTCCAGAACCACTGGGCCAGGAAAGATGAAATTCATGTGGAATCCTCAGGTAGTGTAGATTCAAGTTTGTTCAAATCATGAACCCCGGGGCAAGGGTGGGGCCAAAATGGCCGACCCAAGTTTTACATAGGAATATATAGGAAAAATCTTTAAAAATCTTCTTCTCCAAAACCACTGGGCCAGGAACGATGAAACTCATGTGGAATCATCCTCAGGTAGTGTAGATTCAAGATTGTTCAAATCATGACCCCCGGGGCAAGAGTGGGGCCAAAATGGCCGACCCAAGTTTTACATAGGAATATATAGGAAATATCTTTAAAAATCCTTCTGAAGATCCACTGGGCCAGGAAAAATGAAACTCATGTGGAATCATCCTCAGGTAGTGTAGATTCAAGTTTGTTCAAATCATGACCCCCGTGGCTAGGGTGGGGCCAAAATGGCTGACCCAAGTTTTACATAGGGATATATAGGGAAACCATTTAAAATCTTCTTTTCAAGTACTTCAAAGCTATGATTAGTGATATTTATATGGAATCATCCTCAGGTAGTGTAGATTCTAGTTTGTTCAAATGATGAACGCCTGGAGGGGGGGGGGGAGTAAATTCAAGCCTGATGTGCTCAGGTGAGCGCTGTGGCCCCTGGGCCTCTTGTTGTACATTTTGTCGTCGGCAACAATACAGTCCTAACCTTACTGCACATACTGTTGACAAATGTTATCGTTGGCTGCAAAAGTATAAAAGTTCATGATTGCGCCCGTGAAAATTTGTGCCTACCCTATGTCGCATAATCATTATTGCTTCCATTAACATAAAAAACGATGTAATTTTGACTAAACTTGGTACAAAGCATTCTTGGGTAAATGGGGATCTAAATTGTTAAAATGAAGGGCCAAGTCCCCTCACAAGGGGAGATAATCAAGAAAAGACAAAATAGGGTGGGGTCATTAAAACATCTTCTTCTCAAGAACCACTGGGCCAATAAAACTGAAACTTATGTGGAGGCACCCTGGGATAGTGTAAATTCTAATTTGTTCAAATCATGACCCCCGGGGGTAGGGCGGAGCCACAATGGGGCATCAATGTTTTACATAGAAATATATAGGAAAAATCTTTAAAAATCTTCTTCTCAAGAACCACTGGGCCAGAAAAGCTGAAACTGATGTGGAAGCATTGTGGGGTAGCGTAGATTCTAAATTGTGCAAATCATGACTCCCGGGGGTAGGGCGGGGCCACAATGGTGAATCAAAGTTTTACATAGAAATATATAGGAAAAATCTTTGAAAATCTTCTTCTCGAGAACCACTGGGCCAATAAAGCTGAAACTGATGTGGAAGCACCCTGGGGTAGTGTAGATTCTAATTTGTTCAAATCATGACCCCCGGGGGTAGGGCGGGGCCACAATGGGGCATCAATGTTTTACATAGAAATATATAGGAAAAATCTTTGAAAATCTTCTTCTCAAGAACCACTGGGCCAGAAAAGCTGAAACTGATGTGGAAGCATTGTGGGGTAGCGTAGATTCTAAATTGTGCAAATCATGACCCCCGAGGGAAGGGCGGGGCCACAATGGGGAATCAAAGTTTTACATAGAAATATTTAGGGAAAATCTTTGAAAATCTTCTTCTCAAGAACCACTGGGCCAGAAAAGCTGAAACTGATGTGGAAGCACCCTGGGGTTGTGTAAATTCTAAATTGTTCAAATCATGACCCCCGGGGTAGCGCGGCCACAATGGGGCATCAATGTTTTGCATAGAAATATATAGGAAAAATCTTTGAAAATCTTCTTCTCAAGAACCACTGGGCAGAAAAGCTGAAACTGATGTGGAAGTACCCTGGGGTAGTGTAGATTCTAAGTTGTTCAAATCATGACCCCCGGGGGTAGGGCGGGACCACAATATGTATTACAAGAACAATATGACAAAAGATTCTCAGGTGAGCGATGTGGCCCATGGGCCTCTTGTTTTAAGTTTATTATCAGCAAATAGCACAACAATGTAAGTTTGTATTATTGGTTTGAACAAACCAATGTTTTTTGCAATAAATAAATCAGTAGACACGTTATAAAAAATTTAATTTGCTCCATCCCTACATGTTATTTTCAAAATAAATTGAACTAGATGTGTCCCACAGTTTGTTCATTATAAATTTATTCTCTACGTAGATATATACTTGTCAAAATTTCTAAATCCCCATTTGTGACACGATAACGGTATTTTACTTTGAAGTTTACTGTTCTGAATTAGCAATACAGAACGGGACTGTGGTGGGCGTTCTGTATTAGTTCTGTATTAGCCCTGTATACAGTATTGTATTTGCCAACTATTCTGTTTCTAAAATACAGCACGGTCTAAAAATAAATCTGATTCAATATAGCAAATTACGTACAAATAGTAAATGCTGATGTTTTTCTATTATAAATTTTGGAAAAATACCCGGTATTTTCCTGAGAATGTAAAATGCCAAAATTTCTCAATAACTTTTTAAAAATGTATTCCACACAGAATCTACACGTAATTTCGATCCGAAGTAAAAGGAAAATTCGCAATAACGGAAAACATCCTCTACACGTAATATCGATCCTAACGAAACGGAAAATTCGCTGTAAACTGTAATTTTTTCATTGAATAAAAATGATATCCTATCATAGTGTGAAAGGATATCAAAATGATATCCTGTCACAGTGTGACGAATATCAGAAGTTCAGGAAAACTCTCCACTTCTCTTCCCATAATGAAGACTGCTGTAAAAAAACCAATAAAACAGTCAAAATTACCAAAAATATGTTGTTAAATCAATGTTCAGTGTTTTTTACCTCTCATAGATATGATGTCTCAATCGCTCAACTATGACATCACGAGCCTATGACTGTATGACAAAAAGACAGAGGCAAAGAAAAAATAGAAGAATTCTTTTTTAATGTAAAATTCAATGTTTTCTAGTTGAATATGGAGTTTATTTCACTCGTGAGACAGGATTTTTTATGTTTTCATGAGTGCGAAGCACTTGTGAAAATATCAACAATCCTGTCCAACTCGTGAAAAAAATAATATTCAACTACAAAACATTGAATATCCTCTATATACTTGAGCATCACAGCATTATATAATTATACATTTCGAAGACTTGATGTTATGACAATAAATTATATAAGATGATTATTTTCGTAATTCTCATTGGCTGAAAGGACGTCACATGATATTCCTCCTTTTGCGATAGCGACGTGAAAGCGCATCGGCGGAAAATGACATCGCACAACATACCGTTCGAATCCATTGAAGTTACGTAGAACGTGACGTCATAATATTAGAAGCATGTTTTTAACCATTGTGACATAATGGCAGTAAAGTCCATTTAGTTAGGACTGTGTTAGTGCATTTACTTTGAGTTGTTATATTATATATCTATTATGAACTTTAGTGAACGGTAAATATGTGGTTATAAGGACTCATGGCAATTGATATTGACCTCAGGCACAGAAAATGATAGCGACCTTGTAGGCTCGGTCGCCATCATTTTCTGTGTCTGAGGTCAATATCAATTGGCATGAGTTCTTATAACCACATATCGACACTCAAGTCAATAATGGTATAATATCTTACATTTGTAACGTCTTGATATCACTTTTCCTGTCTTACCTTTGTTAGTCTTGATATCATGACATTATGTCTTACTTTTGCAATGTCTCCATATCAGTGAAATACTCTGGAGAGGGACGTTAAACAGTATATAATCAACAATAATCTTGATATCACTTTTCCTGTCTTACCTTTATAAGTCCAAACAGAGAAGATTGATCCTTCCTGGTTATCTTTCTCTTTACTGACAACATCTTCAAACCTCCTGGTCATGTCCAACACAAGGATGAAGAAGGCCTTTGGTGTTACATAAATTTGGTGGCAAGCATAATATGCTAATTGCCCAGCAAAGTCCAACATGCTTACTGTTGGTAACTTTTCTATTTCAGACAAGATTTTTTCAAAAAGTCCATCCTTAACCATTGCTTGTGCCTCTGAGGAGAGAGCACTGGCCATTATTTCTACTCTATTCTCTTCTTCTTTTCCTTCAGTTAGTGACCTAGACATTTCGATTTTCTCTTCTTTCTGTTCGTTTTTGCCTTCAATTGGAGAACTCGACCTCTCAACATTTTTTTCTTTCTTTTCTTCTCTGCTATAAATTACTTCAGTGCTTTTATCAGTACTTCCTAGCCTCAAATTGTCTTCTTGTTCATTTGTATCGGAGATGTCAAATGCACTAGATGGGTCTGGTATCAAATCTGCAGTGTTTATCCTGATAAATGTCTTCAATGGTGAGTCATCATCTGCCACTATAAAAAAAAATTAAAGATTTTTTTTAAAGCACATCATTTAGTGGTTATATTTCTTTTTAATCAAAACTTATGATTAAGAAGATAAATTTTACTGAATGTATCATATTTTTTTTCGAATAAAGTATTCAATGCAAACTAGAACTGTCAAGACGGGACAATATATCCCCCGCTGGGTTTTTCAGAAGTGAGTTTTCCTTTATAAAGATATGTATCAAACACAAATTATGAAATTTTCTTCCAGTGACCTTGAATTCCCCAAATGACCTTGGGTCAAGATCATGACACACCCTTGGGTCATGGGCAATCTTTGTGTAAAGGGGAACCTACCAAGTTTATCCATTAGAAGGATATGGACCGGACACGAATTATGAAATTTTTCTTCCGATGACCTTGAACTTCCCCAAATGACCTTGGGTCAAGGTCTTGACACACCCTTGAGTCATGGGCAATCTTTGTGTGAAATAAAAACCTACCAAGTTTATCAATAAGAAAGATATGGACCGGACACGAATTATGACATTTTTCTTCCAGTGACCTTGAAGTTCCCCAAATGACCTTGGATCAAGGTCATGACACACCCTTAGGTCATAGACAATCTTTGTGTGGAGTAGTAGATTCTAATGTCCCTCTGTAAGAAAGATATGGACCGGACACGATTGCACAGACAGACGGACAGGCGGACGGACGGACAGATAGACAGTTAGACAGACAAGGTGATTCCTATATACCCCCCCCACCCAAACTTCGTTTTGGGGGGTACAATAAAGAAATACAAAATCCAACATCCTTTTTACAGTTTATAATTTTTTTTTCATATATCTTCACAGATTATTGATGGAGTAATTTTAGTTTAAGAAGCAGATTTCAAAGCATTAATTCATTTAATTAGAGCCCCCACTTTATCTTCTACCTTACCCCTGATCCAGGAGCCTTTAAATTCACAAGAAAAAGGATCCTTGTTAATTATCACTATGTACTATGTAGTTCATCTGCTAAATACCAATGAGCAGAGGAGATTTTCATAGAAATAATGCAGTTTCGCCTTATAATTAAAATAGCACCACCCTAAAATCCTAACTCCTGACCCAGGTGCCATGAATTTCATAATTTTCAAAGAGGCACCTTTCTTTATAGGGTTTGTATGGGAAATACCAGTGGTGGGCATTTTTGATTTTTTTTTTTAATACTTGGAATGGCAATTATGTTTGTGATTCACAAAAAAGCTTTATGTTCCAAACAAGCATCTTTCCTAAAGAGCAAATGTACAGAAATTGTTTTAAACCTTCTAAAATTCCATTTCTAACAATGAATAGATGTTGGTGGACTTCCAGTTCTGTTGACCCCCCCCCCCCCCCCCCGGGCCTCCTTATAATTTTAGTTGATAGCATTTATTATAACTTATCTATAAAAGCATGTGTGCTTGATTATGTTTATTTCTTTGGAAAAGCTAAGTGTCAGTGTGTAAAACTAGGTTTCATATTTTAAGACCACGGAACGTTAAATGACAAGATTGGAAAGATGCAGCTAACGTCATTTCCATCTGTTACAATCAAAACATTTAATGAAAGACAATGAAATAGGCGAGTACAATATTCGGACGGTCGAGGAAACATTGGATTGAAATTCGAGGATGAAATTTATTTTCAATCCACCTAAGCTACGCTAGAAGGCAAATTCTTACTGATTGACCCAGATGACAATTATATTCAATATCAGTATAGTTTGAAAATAATATATAATTATATAAGAATTTTCTGTCCAGTCTTTAAAGGAAATATATGAAGGGGCAAATATCTTATTTTTGTTTGATTTAATTTATGTATGTGTGCGGGAGTGGTTTTAACGATCTTGGAAATAAATAAGAAAGTTGTCAAACATTTTTAAATGAAGACGAATCTAAAGAAGCTCTTGTCATCCTAAAAATAAGTGGTACAAAGCATGATCTGACTCAACAATTTCTGACATCCCCTTGAATAAAATGGCCGTCACCTGACAAAAAAATGTCCTCTGTGACTTTTACCAGTCCTTAAGATTGTATTATAGGGTTAGGCTCATGTCAATATAAATTTCAACAACCAACATAAAAGAGGTTTTTTAAAAACATTATTTTAGTATATTTCAGTGTGATATCTTTCAGCAACATTGAATCATGATATTATTCAGATAATTTAAGAAAATCAAATAGATCTACAAATATGTGCCCTAGCTCTATTAACCCTGTATTATTGTAATTGTTCACTGCAAGCAACCTCCCTAACACTCACTGTGTTTGTAGGAGTATAGTCATGTACACCCAAAATAGATTTGTTAAAATATTTCCTTTCTATCCACAACATAGGATTTGGAGTTTGATCATTACTCTTTTTGCCCTAATCTAAAATTGTTCACGTAAACTGCCACTCTCCTTCCCTTGTGGAATAAAAAAAAATCTATATTAGCTGAGAAAGAAGATATACTTCTGAATCAGTGGTTATTCTGTGACTTTAATGAAGCCAACAAAATGACATTTCAGGCTTTCTGGAAAGCCAAGCTTGTATTTAAATCATTTTGAAAACAATGTAGAAATCAGAAGACAATGACAAATATGAATATTTTTTCATATAATACCAAGAGATTAAAAAAAACCATATTTGTAAGGAATGTGTCGTCTGTTCTTAATATTGCAGATAAATAAAATGTATATCAAAATTATTGATTTACGTTACTGATAAAATAAAATATCACTGATGGTGGATTGAAATGCGACTGTAAGAATTGCGTATGACCATAAAAACGTTTACGTCTTAGGCTTTCAAAACTTACTATTAATTAATCAGTACACTGTACTAATGGTGCATAAGTAGTGTCAATGCTGTCTATTTAGGTTTCGATTACCTTTTTGTGACTTTATCTCTGGCTTAGTTCTTAGGCTGTGTCAGACCATAATTCAGGATATACTGTAGTTACATTTACACAGCCACGTAGCATCGTTTTAGAAAATTGGGGTGCCAGCCAGAGAATTTTTTTTACTTACCTGAAAAAGTTGAGAAGGGAAAAATGAAAAGTTGCACAAAGTCGAAAATCCTTTTTCGTGGGGTGTTGAGAGTTTGGACCAACTCTTTTCAATTCCAACTTTCTTTTGTACCAATTTTCGACCTACAATACTACATTATCTAAAAGGAGGAAGGGGTAGAAAGTTCAAGGTTTCTCATTCCACATCACTATGTCCACTACTATAAATATCGCTTTGATATAAAAGTCTTCAAGTTCTAAATGTAGAGTTTTGGCAGGTCATACTTGAATCATTTATCACTTTTTCTGTTGTTTATCTGTTCTTAGAATCCATGTTTTCCCACACAAATAAATCAGTCCCTTCCATATAGAGAAAATGCCACATCAATAGTCTCAGAGTGAAGAAGGTTTTTCCATCCCGCCAATTCCTGTAAACGTTAAGATCGTCATCAATTAAGATGGTATTTTCAAATGTTCATCAGCATCAAACAAATTTTTAAAGCAATCCTTTAGATTGAATTTCAGAATCATTAATAACAAATACAAAAAGTTACTTACATTTCACTGGTTAAAATTCTTGCGTTCACTTACAGATCAGGACATATCTGCTTTGTTCAAGCACGCTAATTCCTATAAAAGTAAAGATCGTCATCAATTACAATTGTTTAATCAGCATCCCGGTATCGATAATTTGAAAGCCTACATGCATGTCATTACAATGTTGTGCATTTCACATTATAATTATTTCAATAACAAATACTATACTCACATTGAAAGGATTAAAATTCTTGCTTTCACTTAAACAGACTTATACGCTTTGAATTGTTCAAATGCGCGGTTAAAAAATAACTGTTTCCTTGGAGACCTATGAGTCACCTGCCGAGCCAGTGAATTTCACCAGTGACCTATTTATTTTGGAGCCCAAAACACAGCACTTTAAATTTGATTCAATGATGCTAAATATAGAATCTACCAAGATACAGAATTACTATACGTAATTCACAGACTTACAAGGATTGTCTCATAATTTCCATTCAATATAACATAGATCACATGTTTATATAATGGGTTGCTTATTACATTACCATCGATTTACAACAGATAAACCTAAATTGAGGAGTACTTTTCGCAATATTGGGCCAACGTTGAACCAGCATTTCATCTCAAACATTACATGCCATCTGTACGTGTAATCCCAATATTCCTACTATTGGCCCAACTCCAGTTCAGTCCAGCACGCCCAACACAGAGCAATGCATCATTTGATTGTCAACATTTATTAAGTTGGGCCAACGTTGGGCTAACATTGAATAACCAACAATAAGTGGCCACGTTTTGTGTCAACATGTACTCAGTTAGACCTACGTTGGGCCAACATTTCATACCCAACACACAATGGTCTTGATCCATGTCAACATTTACTCGGTTGGACCTATGTTGGGCCAACATCTTAATGTCCAACACAAAGTCGCTATATTTCTTGTCAACATGTTACTACAATGGGCCAACATTGGGCCAACATCACATGCCCAACACCGTTGGTTTAGCTTTTATGCCAACGTAAGTGAACGTTGGACCAACGTTGGGCCTACATTTGTTCCCCAACGCCAACACTCTACCAACCATACAACCAAAAACCAACGTTGGCCCAACGGAGTCATGCTATCTGGGCTGTTGCTATGTGTAATAAATACAACAAAAAGTAAACGAAACCTAAATGGACAATTCATCGAATGTTTCAGTGTCGCCGAAATATGGCTAAAATATTTTGGTACCAATTCTTGTACCGTTATTAGCAGATCTATTTTTGTACTCATATGAAACAGAATTTTTGAAAAATATTATGCGTGAAAATAAGAAATAATTGTTGTGGCTTTATGGGAGACTTACTGTCAATTAACAGTTGTAATTTCCATTGTTATGTCGACACGATATACCACAGAGTCTTGCACATCTGTTTCATATTTTGATATTTTACTTGAAGAAGCCATTAATGGTGATCCAACAACCAAGCTCTGTGATAAACGTGTTGACTTGAACTTTTTCTGTATTCTTACTTATGCAACAATATACATTCATCACCTGCATATGGAGTTAATAGATATGCAAAAGCATTCTCTATGTATAAACAATTTCTAAAACGGCTAAATTATTGACAAACAAGGTGATGAAACAAGTATCTCAGATGTCTCGTTTAAAGTCATTTTTTCGTTCTATGACTACATAAGTTCTATGGTCAATACAATGACCTTGTCAGCAAATACAATTTATCATTCAGTCAAATGCTGACTGACGTTTTTGATATAAATTGTTTGTCCATTATTTATTAACTTAATTGACGACGGATTTTTTTCGTTATTAACCGATCATGCAAAATGTTGACCCTACACGCAATGATTGATATTTTTGATGAAGGATTCATTCTTACTATGAAGGATATGGAGATAACGAACAGTATTGAATATCAAAGTCCATAAAACAATACAAAATAGGAGCAGAATAAACACGGACCTCCGAAACTCAGAGGTGGGATCAGGTGCCATGGAGGAGTTTTTAGTCATTAGCATATCCCGAAATTGTTCGAGCATAGAACATGCTCTTGCAAATCAAATCAATTCAGAAACATAAACCCCGTATGCTGGTGAAAAAGTACAGTACTGTGCAAGTAAGGGACTTTAATAAAAGAAAAAAAAAAATAAAGATATCATGTTTGTTATAGAGCGTTGTGTTAGATTACCATTTATGTCTTTTTCAAGTTCAAAATAAAAAACAGTGAAACAAACGTGTCAATTTCCTGTGTAAACGTTTGATCGTCAAAAGTAGTCAAACTCCATATCTAGGCATTGTTCTCCCTGATATTTTCAAATATTTTTTCATGAATATTTCTGCATCAACTATTTTATCCGTTTTTTGAACAATATAAAATATTTAATTTATGTTGCCTTAAAAAGATCTCAAATCAATTTAAGCTCCTATTTTCCAGTGCTCTTTGAGGATTTTTTTGTTTTCTCTAATACAAGGTACAGAATGCAAGTAGGGTCGGTCAGCAGGGGATGCTCACTTCTGCATGGTACCTAATCCTACCTCTGATTTTTAGAAGTCGGTGTTTGGTCTGCTTTATAGATATCAACAAACGGACTTTAAGGTTGAATAATGTTTGCTATCTCCATATTTTTCAATTATTTGAAACTTTATTTCCCCACTGTAACCCCATCTTGTCTTAAGGGACCAATTTCGGAAAATTTAGAATTTACACAATCTCAGTAAACTTCTTAAGTTTCACCTTTGCTGACACAGTGAATGTTGAGATTCTTTTTAGATAAGCCATCCTATTTTTCCTTCTCAGCTGTTTTGATTATCTCCCTTGCAAAGGGACTTGGTCCTTTATTTTTGGTCCTTTATATCTTGGTCCCCAGGTTTCAACTCAGGTGAGCTTAAAACAAAGTAGTGAACCAAAGTGCTGTCTTCCTTTCATACATTCTATTAAAGATGACATTCATCAAAACTAAAAAGAATATATCCCAGGTTAAGCAAGATATAAAGGACATAGCAAACGAAGAAAAAATCAATCTAGTTCACAAGCATATAAACATGTACCGATACTGACAGACATACAGTATACAATCAGCTCAACTTACTTCGGGTTCTGTTAAAGGTTTAACAATAAGTATGAATTGAAATTATTACTTTAAGATATATCATAATATACAAAACAAAAAAAGATTAAAATTGAAATCATTAAAAGAATAAAAATGTACAAAACACTGGCTGTAAACATGCAGGTTGATCTCAGTGATGTATACATTGTGATGTTATTACAATATACGAGTACTTCAAAATTCAACCAGCATGAGTTCATAAAACAGAATTTTATGATTTTTTTACATTGATATTTCTATCAATTTTGGGTTGCAAGTTGTGTAGTAGAATTGATAGAAATATTTCTTATTTATAAACTACATAAATTAAATATATTTCATCAGCTTAATAAACAACATTTATTACATAAACTACAAAGATGAATCGGAAATCTGTTTCTGAGAACTGTATATAATGCCTTAAATAACGATATATGTGTCTAATACAATCAACAATTAAAATGTGTCTGACGAATGTTATCAGGCATAAGATAATTAAGTTATGTGACCGATATACATGTACTTCTATACAGATCTGTACTTACAGCTACTCTAATTCAGTACAAGTGGTCGATACACAGGTCATTGATACACAATAGTTTAAATCAACTCTAATTCAGTACAAGTGGTAATAACACATAATAATGATTCATTACTATTTAAAACAATTTTAATTCAGGACAAGGGTAGTGAAACATAGCATTGATACACAAATATTAATAACAGCTCTTATTCAGTACAAGTGGTAGAACAAACATGGCGCTGATGCACATTTTTTTAAAAACAACCCTAACTCAGTACAGGTAGTAGTAACACAGACAATTGATACACAATTAAATTGTGTAAAACATCTCTTATTCAGTACAAGTAGTAGTTTAATAGATCCCAAATTAATTTAAAGGCAGGTTTTACAAGTAGACTTTAAATGACCATCGAGGAATTTTAATTCCATTTAAAAACCCAATTTAAAAGAGAAAACACACAATAAGATAATTTAGAACTACATCTTAGATATTGTTGCACAGCAACGCAACGGGATTTTACACAGTATATTAACATGACAATGATGGGTTTGGATACAAGTTATAGGCACTTTAATTTCAGGATTACATGTATACATGCATGCTACAAATCAAAATCTTTTGAAACATCCAACATAAACTATAATTGGATTTTGTAATAATTCCATGATGGCTCTAATCTTTTAACCTCAAGTATTTCAAAACATAAGCCTCTTTCTATATTTCATTTTTAAATATCATCCATGCAAAGACATTTGTATTTTATATCTATCATTATCTAAAATCATTTTAAATCTTGAATTCAGAGTGATCAGTAGGCAAATTAGATTTTTGAACAAGATAAACAAATATCAATTCATCATATCAAGTCCCCTGAATTCAATCATTTAAATTTCATTGTTGATTCTCTTTCAAGTAAAACATACAATTCTTTAGAATTCTGCATCATTTCATGAGTTTCTTATTTATACAAAATGTAAGACCCTTGTTAACCTTGAACACTATTTCGAATTCTAACATATTAAAGTTGTCTTAAATTTCTCTCAATGTTCTTGTATTTTAAACATCCTCAACTTCCTTTCTCAAGGAGAGTGTTTTAGTATCCTTAAGGATGTCCAAGTTCTTTTTTCCAGTAACTATCTATATTCTTTGGAAAATTGTTTCAAATGACACTCGTTTTTTAAATCTCACATGGTTTGACCACTTTTGGGCATACATTCTTGTCGTGTTCAATTTTGCTTTAATTTCGTCATATCTGACTTAATGTCTTGTACATCTGACACTAATTTCTTCAACATTTCATATTGTTCCCTTGCATCTTCATCTTTTAAAGTAAGAGTGTAGATGCTATTAAGGTTATCAAAGTACTTCTTTTTAGTAAAGACTTCCAATCTTCGGCAGATATCTGACATCGTCGACCAGATGTCATCGAATTCTGTCTGAGAGGTGGAGGCTGAGCTCACATGTGCAGTCAAACTGTTTCGGATTAACCTAATTCTCTCGATATCGTCACCAACTGTCACCTCTCCTGCTGCAGGCTCTTCTCCCCAATTTCCTTTTGTTGGTTTAGGGATCGTTGAACAAATGTTTCTTATCATCTTGTATGTTAATGAAATATCAAATTTCTTATAACCAGAAGTTTTTGCTTTTTTCAAGAGATCCTCTTGATCTGAGTTCAACTTCAGATTCGTTCTCTTTTTGTTCGATAATAAATTCACCTTGTTTTCAATATCAGAAGGGGGTACTTCTGACTCTAGTATATCTCTGTAAGCGTGATTTAACACGTCGTTCATTGCCATTCCAAGTTTTGCAAATCTTGATCTACCCTCGAGGTCTTGTCCACCAGAGGCCACTGGAGACCTTGAATCAATCATCTCTCTCTGAAATACAGGTACACATAGTTATCATGTCTATAATAATGAAGTAAACTTTGCAGAAAGATGATAACAGTGTAGAATGATTCTTTATGTACATGTATGTAGCAAAGCAAGAAAAAAGAAATAAGTTTATAATATTTTTTTCAGAAATACATGTTTGAGAAAGTTTCCAACAATTTAATTTGAATCATGTTTTAAACCAGAGGCCAAAGTTTAAAGATTTTAAAAGAGCACTATTGCTAGTTTTAACTATACACTAACATGATTATTGTAATAACGTAGCGCTCACTAAGAAGCTGATCAAAGGAACAAAAACAAAAAAAAAAAAAACAAGAGGCCCATGGGTCACATCGCTAATCAGAGCACAGTAGCTAGGAATAAAGCAAAACAAGAGGTCCATGGGTCTAATCAGAGCTAGGAATAAAACAAAATTCACATCAGTATTGAAGCGCTTTCATGGAAAGGGGGGGGGGGGGTAAAATAAAATTATCTGATAATGCTCTCATATGAATACATGTATAACACTATACAATTAATTACCCCTTGTGAGGTCAACATGGTGAAATAAGGACCCGAGACCTGACCCATGAGGTGACCTGACCTGACCGAGGCCGCGTAGCGGCCGAGGTCAGGTCAGGTCAGGTCATCGAGTGGGCCAGGTCGAGGGTCCTTATTTCACCATGTTGAACTCACAAGGGGTAATTAATTGTTTTATTATACCGATATATATATAGAAAAGATTGAATTTCGAACCGTTGTCAATTCTTCTTTTCATCGGGATCGGGATTCGCTACAGACCGGATAGTGAAGTTGTTTACACTGACGTCTGCAAGTCGTGTAAGTGTTTGCATAATGCTTTACTGATTAAAACAATATTTGGTTGATAGCGACATACATTGTTATAACTAACGATTACTTTTCCTCTACACAGTCAAAATCTAACATAGAATTCAACTCTTTAAAGAGCCGCCTCTACATTCTATTGAACTGAATTTTAACGATATATTGAAACGATATATTGTAACGATAAAATTTTACCGTATTCTGTATGTAATGCAAAACAGACCATGCACAATTTTAAAAACGTTTTTTCTTTCCGAATAATTAGTATTTTATGCATTAACTTCACTCAAAAACAAATTTTTGATTAAGCGGTCATTAAAAATAATGACCGGGTCATTATATCCCACGTGCAATGATTCCTAGGTCAGAATTGCTGTAAACAGTACCATTTGGAGTCATTGTTGTGTTTTAAAGTTTTCTTACCAGCCAATCAAATTCGAGTATTATCAATAAAGGTATAATAAATAGTTTTGCTGTTGTAGTGGTCCTGGAGGAGCCGGGGACGAATTCCCCGATAGCCTCCGATCACGTGTCCAGTAATGATGCGGACTATGACGTAACCCTCTCTCTCTCTTGTGCTGATTGTTGAACCGACCGGACGTGTCATCTCATTGTCTGTTAGTCACTGTATTATTGTTGATATATATTTGGCGACCACTAACTTATTAAACGTGCGGAATTTACCATAGTGTTTCTGATATCCGCCATCACAGATATATGTAGCCAAAAAAACACTATATTGACGCTGTGATCCAGGGTTTTTTGTCTGGGCAGCGGGGTGCCGGCCTAACCACGTGTTGTTAGTGCCGTCGCCATCTTGAATTTTTTGTGACTTTTTATTATGTAAGGCAAATTTATAAGGTTGAAGTCTTTGTGCATTTAGTTAATTGTTGTGTACTTTCAGCGGATTAGCCGCGAGGTATTTTTATGTGTTTTTAATAAATTTATCTTGTGGTTTGGTGTGTATTATGGACCGTGAGATTAGCTCGTTTGGTCTGGGTAGGGGGACTTTGAGACCCGAGGGGGGCTGGTATGCTCGCGGAGGGGGAGGAGACCGGATTGGTCTGATAGGTACCCCGTTAGAGTGCAGTCCAGGGAAAGTCCCGCCTGCTAAGAGTGTGAAGTCCGTCCCTGGTGTTGCTAGTACACCAATGCCCCAGGGGGGGGAGTGCCCCGGATAATATCACTCAGTATGGGGAGGGGGACATGTCACTCACTCAGGGAGCTATTTCGGAGGGTCCAGGGGAAACACCCGGATGGTCCGCATTTTATTCCCTCCTCCAGGAACGACAGCAGATACTGGAGGGAGCGGTTGACCGAATCCAAGGGGAAATGGGTACAGTACATAGAAGGATGGACACCCTAGGTCAAGATATTGGTATAGTACATAAAAGGGTGGATACCCTAGGTCAAGATATCGGGGCCCTGAGAGGGGATATAGATACCCTGGGAACCAATGTGTCAGAGCAGCTGGGGTCTATGGGATCCCACATAGGTGCCTTGGAGACAAATATGTCAAAACAGGTTGGGTCTTTGGAGACAAATATGGGGGGCCAGTTGGGTAATATCACACTAATGTTGGCTGGAATGATGAAGGCCAGTCAGCCCCAGTCACCCCCGCCCATGCAGGATAATAGAGTCAGTCAGTCAGTAGTGACTAGTAGCCAGGGGAGTCCTTGGGTCCCTAGCGCACTACCCGGACATCAGATGCCTGCAAGTACCCCAGTAGTGTCCGCACATAGCGGAGAGTCTATATCTGTCTCTGTGGGGGGACCCAATGTACACATGTCTCAAGGTCATTCCCTATCATCATTTGGCAATGACAGTTTAGCCTCGGGACTTCCGAGTACTATTACTTTGGGTTCATTCGCGTCAGGGGGGACCGATTACCCAGTGCTTCCCAGCACGGTCCCACCGGTTCCGGGTCAGGTTGCATGGTGCACCCGAGTGGGTACTTCCGCGACATTGCCCTTAGCGTTCGCGCATCCTAGTGTTTCTAACTCGAGTGGTCAGGGCGCTGGCCACTATGGTAGGTTGGTTGGGGAGTCAGTTACATTAGGGGGTAGTTCGTCGTTTGTACCTAGTTATGGGGGTTTGCATAATGCAGGACAGGGTCATTCGCTAATGACCACCGAGTATCAGAGCCCACTGCCAAGTTTACTTCCCGCTGCCTGGTACCCGTAGCTGTGTCAGTAAGAATATTCCGGCCGAGGTCAAAGGGGTGAGATATAACGGGGATGTAGAATGGGGACCCTTCTACTCAAAGTTCTCCACTATTGCCGAATATCATCAGTGGAGCGATCCCGACTCTCTGTTTGCCCTAAGTCTCACGCTAGAGGGGGCAGCTCTTAAGTACTTTGATATCCTCAGACGCCGAGGCGCGCTGTTAAGTTTCCGAGAGGTCGTTCTCCGGATGGAGGAGAGATTCGGTAAAACTTCCCTCAGAGCCGCCTCACAGCTGGAATTCAATTCTATCTGCCAGCGAGCGGACGAAGCTATAGAGCAATGGGGGGACCGAGTTATGGACACTGCCCAGAAAGCGTTTGGTGGCGGTACTTCGCCAGAGGTCTTCCAAGAGCAGATAATCGTTCGTTTTGCTCTTGGGTGTAATGACGGCGAGGCGGGGCAGCAGTTAATAAATAAACCCCCGGGGACTCTAGAAGAAGCGATTAAGAGAGTTAAAACTTATCAGCTTAGTCGCAGAGCTTTAGCCCGCCGGCCGAGAGCGGTAAGGTCGCTCTCTAGAGACCGTCATAATGACCGGAGTCAGTCGCCAAATCCGAGTTATTATCGGGCCAGATCAGATTCTGAGTGTCAAGATCTTTACGTGGCACGCAGAGAGCGCTCGGAGTCAAGGGACCGCTCTAATCGTGCCAGCGGGGACCGTCCTTATCGTGCCAGCAGGGGCCGTTCCCCTGATCGTGCCAGCAGGGACCGTTCCTATGATCGTGCCAGCGAGGACCGTCCTCGCCGTGCCAGCAGAGACCGTTCTGATCGCCGTGCCAGCAGGGACCGCTCCGAGTCGCCGGATTGGGCCTCAGGTAAGAAACATTACTCCAGTGACTCGGAGGACCGCACCCGAGGATCAAGTCCCGAGCGAGGATCCTCGAAGGATCCGTCACCGAATAGGGGCCGTTCTCGCGCACCGAAGCCTATTATATGCTTTGAATGTCAAGAGCCAGGGCACTTGCTTCGCGACTGCCCGATCCGCCAGCGAAGGCGTAGATCGGGGACCCCGAAGCCTTGTCTGAAGTCATCGAGTAACAAAACTAAAGACAAACATAATGCGTCAGACCATGAAACAGATGTCAAGTTCTATGAACCGAATGTGAACGCGACCTATGTAATTCCGTCTGTTAGGTCCGGTAGTCAAACCATTGGTTCAGGGGCGTGGCGTATTCCGATAAGAGTAGGAGGCCAACAAGTGAAAGCAACCATCGACACAGCAGCCGATATAACCATAATATCAAGCGAAGTTTACAAGTCTTTGAGGCCGCAGCCCGAAGTTATAAGCGATACTAATGTTAGGCTAGCTGGCGAGGGAGCTGGTATGACCGCTCAGTATCTCGGTTGTCTTAACATACGCATCGGGGATTATGATTTTGCTCACCCGATCTATGTTGGTTCTCTGCAGGATGAGATGCTCTTAGGAATAGATTTCCTGCGTAAGCATGGTGTAGAAATTTCATGTGAAGCCGGTACTTTAAGGGTCAAGGGCATCGACACTACATTTGCTATGAGTGTTGATGAATCAGTACCAGTACTCGATGCGGTTTCAGTCCGCAGAGTGCGGATCCCCCCGCACACTGCTCAGATCATCGAGAGTACCCTTAGTTCCGATATGCCAGAGTTTATGCTGGAGCCAGCCAGCATATTTCCGCCTGGTATAGTAGCTTCGCGGACATACAACAGTGCAGGAAACAGAGCCAAGCTGTGCATCTTGAACTTGACAGACCGAAGTCATATTGTTAAGACAGGCACTAAGGTGGGGAAAGCAGTCCCCGCCGATCTAGTTGATGATGCTAGACCCACAGTGCGGCGTGTAACCTTTGAGGGGGATAAGACTTATGACCATATCACCCCACTCTTAGAGCAGTTAAATAAGACCGCGCCTGTGGAAGTCAGATCTCAGGCAGCGGAGCTAGTCAAGAAATTTGCCGACGTCTTTGCTACTGATGACCTTGATCTCGGAATTTTTTCCGAGATCGAACACCGAATAGACACCAGTAACGCGTCTCCTGTCAAGCAGCGGATACGACGCACCCCCGCTGTTTTTCAAGGGGAGGAAGAGGGTCATCTCGATAAGATGTTGAAAGCCGGCGTCATCCAGCCATCTTCTTCAGACTGGGCGTCCGCCCCAGTTCTGGTCCGGAAGAAGGATGGCAGCGTCCGCTGGTGCGTGGATCATAGAGCCTTGAATAAGGTGACAGTCAAGGACACGTACCCTCTGCCACTCATCGAGGAGTGCATGGACACGCTAGCGGGAAACCGCTGGTTCTCCAAGCTTGACGCTAATGCGGCTTACTGGCAGGTTAAGATAGCTCCGGAAGACCGGAAAAAGACTGCCTTTATAACAAAATACGGCTTATTTGAATTTACTAGAATGGGATTTGGTCTGTGTAATGCCCCCGCGACCTTCGCTCGAGCCATAAATTTGGTGTTACACAGACTTAACTGGAAGATCGCCTTAGCTTTCTTAGACGATATCCTGGTCCTAGGATCTTCCGCACATGCTCACCTTGATAACCTGCGACAAGTGTTTGAGCGGTTCCGAGCATATGGCCTTAAATTCAAGCCTCGGAAATGCGAGCTGTTTAAGACTAAGGTCGAGTTCCTTGGTAGAACCGTTAGCGAGCACGGAGTTGAGATGGGGGATCAGTACATCGAGTCAGTGCGTGACTGGCCAGTTCCGCGTGATGTTAAGGGCGTAGAGCGCTTTCTTGGCTTCGCCAATTATCACCGTAGTTTTATCCCTCACTTCTCCAGAATTGCGGCTCCGCTATATGCGGTTACCGGAAAAAGTGGTTTCCGGTGGGGTGACGAGCAACATAATGCTTTCGAGGAACTCATTCAGTTAATGACTAGACCTCCAGTTCTAGCGATACCGAACAGTACAGGTCATTTCATCCTGGATACTGACGCCTCGGATTATGCCGTAGGCGGGGAATTAAGCCAAGTCCAGGGTGGGAAAGAAAGAACAATAGGGTATGGCAGTGCTGTGCTATCCGCAGAGCAGCGCAGGTATTGTACTACTCGTAAAGAGCTATTGGCGGTTATTAAGTTTACCAGACAATTCCGCCATTACCTGCTGGGTCGCGAGTTCACAGTCAGGACCGATCATCAAAGCCTGGTCTGGCTAATGAACTTCAAGCATCCGCAGAACCAGATTGCTCGATGGCTCGAGGAATTGAGCCAGTACAACATGCGGATCGTACACCGCCCGGGAAAGAAGCATGTGAATGCTGACGCTCTGTCCCGGGACATACCCGATTCATGCCAGGGGTACTCGACGAGAATTAGGGTCGAAGACTTGCCCTGCGGCGGATGCCGTTATTGCCGCCGAGCCCACGAGCGCTGGCATGACTTTGACACCGAAATAGACGATGTAATTCCTTTGTCCCAACTCTTTGACGAAGCGCCTGTGCCAGCGGAAAGTCCGTCCGCTGAGGGGGGTAACTGTGATTCGTTACATCCCACTCTTCGTCAGGCCATTGTGTCTAGTTCTTGGGAAGATACTCCCTCGACTGCGAGTGCTTCTGCACTTCCCAGTTTTCAGATTAATGTCAGTGGGGTGTCGAGTCTAGATCCCAAGATTGAGGCAGTTAGTCCTCAAGTCTCTCAGTTAACAGGTGACACTGCGGGAATTTCCCTATCTTCATACAGTCCCGCAGACCTAGCTCAGAAACAGAAAAATGACAAAGCTATAGTATACCTAAGACAGTACTTAGAGTCTGGAGACTTACCTACCGAAAGTGACTTAATTATCTGTAGTCCGGAAGAGAAGTGCTATCTTCTGGAGCGAGACTGTTTTTATCTCGACGAGACAGGGGTTGTTTGGCGAGAACCGGATGACTCGGATGCGCCCCGTCGGCTCCTAGTGCCGCGGAGTCACCGATCCGAGATCATGCACCTATGCCATGACATACCGTCCTCTGGTCACCAGGGAATTCAGAGAACTAAAGAACGACTTAAGCAACAGTTCTACTGGTGGCGCATGACAAAGGACATTAAGTTATATGTCAAGACTTGCGACGTATGTGCGAGGAATAAGCGAGGTTCGTTGCCGAACAGATCAGAGCTCAAGAGCTACCAAGCCGGAAGCCCGATGGAGAGGGTACATTTAGACTTTCTCGGGCCGCTTCCCCGAACTGATAGCGGGAACGAATACATACTTATGATGGTAGATAACTTTACCAAGTGGGTAGAATGTATTCCGCTTCCGTCTCAGACAGCGGAAGTTACCGCCCGTTCCGCTATCAATGACTTTTTTTCTCGATTTGGCTATCCTTACGAAATCTTTACAGATCAGGGCCGTAACTTCGAGAGTGAGCTGTTCTGTAAGATTTGTGCCATGTTAGGGATCCATAAAGCCAGGACCACACCCTACCGTCCGTCAGGGAATGGCCAGGTAGAGCGCTACAACCGCACTCTAATGGACGCGGTTCGTTGCTACGTAGATGGCCAGCCCAAGTCATGGGATAAGTACCTAGGCCCATTGGCTGGAGCGTTGCGGTCCGCGGTAAACCGCCATACTGGATACACTCCAAATCGTCTCATGCTGGGTAGAGAAGTAAATATACCAGCAACCTTGATGTTCGCCCCACCGCCTTCCACGTCTTTTCAAAATGGGGAGGAGGGTGAGGTCGACAAGTATGTACGTGATCTAGAAGAGAATGTTCAGAGCGCGCACGACATTGCCCGCGGAAAACTAAAAGTCGCGCAAAAGGCAATGAAAAGGTCTCATGACATTAAGGTCCTTACCAGTAAGTTCAAGGTCGGAGATTTGGTCTACTGGCGCCGCAATGCGGGAAAAAAGGTAGAGTCAGTATGGAGGGGTCCTGGGATAATAACCGAAGCTAAATCGGACACGATATTTGTTGTAAAATCTCGGCGCGAGGTGAAGGTCATGCACCATGACAAGCTTAAAAGGTGCGAGTCCAGGCAACTCCCCAAATGGTTAATAAACTATAAGAATAGGTTGCCCGGACAGTCAGTAGCCCGAGATGGGGATAGTTCTCCTACGCATGATGTGGTAGCACCGCTGGGGACCGCAGACTCAGGAATTAGTCCTGAGAGCCCGGGGAGTGGGGGTCACTCAAAATCTAGCCCCAAACCAGCGGAGTCATTAGGTCCGTATATGGGTACTCGCAAACGGGCTAGGGAAAGATTAGATCAATCTAAACAACCCCAATCGCCCAAGAGACCTAGAGCCACTAGGTGGACTAGAACCAAGAAAGATTGTGTTTGCGTAAAGTCTAATCCCAAGGGGATGATGGTGCAGTGCGACAACTGTCGGGACTGGTTTCACCCAGGGTGTGTAGGGATAAGTGAGGACTATGCCAAGTCGATACCTCAATATATCTGCCCCGAATGTAGTCCCGTCGGAGTCGACACTGGTTAGTTAGAGTAGTTAGGTTTCCGCAATGATGCGGAAGCATGTGCAAGTCTCAGTTGGGTTTACATCAGGTTAAGGTAGACTTGTACATGAATTAGTAAGTTAGACATAGGTTGAATAATCTTACCTGTCTTTGTAGGTTCATAAGTGATGTCTAAGGAAGTTGATGAGTTTGTCTTTGAGGGCGGAAGCTCCGCCGAGGTAGAGATGCGGGAACGCAGCGACGCGGATTCAGAAGTGGCCGCACCGGCGAGTGATGCTGAAGTGCAGGAAGGGAACCTCAGAGGTGCCAGAGGTTCGTGCTGGCGGAGTTCTTCCGCCAGGCGATGTTCAGTACCGGGATGATATTGGTTGTGAAGGGAACAGCGGATGACCCTTTGGACCGCGTCCCTCCACAAGATTGCCTTACCCTGATGGACGGGATGTTTGTTCCCATCCTAGTACCTATCTTTGTCCGTGGTTTCACTGGTGGACCGGAGCAAGTGAAGCTCAGGGTGGAGTCTGGCAGACCCGTATTCTTTGGAATAGGAGGTCAAATCGCGGATATGTCCGCGACACAGTTATCGGGAGTCAGAGCTATTCCTATGGACCGACTGTTAGTCGAGTCGGACAGTCCTGATTTTCCTTGTGGGGTTGAAGCGCCGATGGGCCCCAGGCACATCGGAGAAGTGTACCGTCGAATCGCCGCAGCGAGGGGACAGGACGTCGCCTTGCTAGCGGGTCTTGTCTTCAGGAACTTTAGAGTGTTCTTTGGACCCCAGTTGAGGGGATTCTTATAAACTAGTGCTGTTATAGCCGGGACGTATAGCCCGAATTACTTACCTGAGTTTACCTGAATCGGGAGCAGATAGTTCTGATGTCTTAGCCGCACTATAGATGTCGCCTTAGATGTACTAAGCAGAGCCTATCCAGATGTATCAACGTTGGACCACTTGGTAGACGACATGAGTAGGATGGTAACAACGAGGGACCTCGTGGTGTTCCGAGACGACGCGGAGGATGAGTGACTGTGTGATATGAAGTGTTAAATCTGTGATTTTTATTATTATAGAGACATTAATGTTTAAAGCTTTATTATTGTGTGAATGCATGTGTATGTATGTGAGATAGGCCCTGTTAGGTGTTAACTTTTATTGATTGTACATCTTAGTTGTTCCATTGTATATATAGTACGGGCTGGGACGCCCTGTTATAAAATGGGGAGGAGTGTAGTGGTCCTGGAGGAGCCGGGGACGAATTCCCCGGTAGCCTCCGATCACGTGTCCAGCAATGATGCGGACTATGACGTAACCCTCTCTCTCTCTTGTGCTGATTGTTGAACCGACCGGACGTGTCATCTCATTGTCTGTAAGCCACTGTATTATTGTTGATACATATTTGGCGACCACTAACTTATTAAACGTGCGGAATTTACCGTAGTGTTTCTGATATCCGCCATCACAGCTATATGTAGCCAAAGAAACACTATACTGTTCTTGAACAGTATATTTTTCCTATTTATAGGGGTATTCATTTGAAAAAGATTTGGCCCCCATTGTGGCCCCCAGCACTACCTCCTGGGGCCTCATTTTAACCAGTTTGACTTTACAGTACCCGTGGATGCCTTAATGTGATATAACTAATCATTTATTGTTCCTATGTAAAACATGAATATTTACACTACCTGAGTATGCTTCAATTAAGATACCACTAATCATAAATTTGCTGTTCTTAGAAAGAAGACTTTTACAGAATTTCCTATGTATTCATATGTTAAACTTTGAACACTTATCGCAGCCCAACCTTATCCCCCGGGGTCATAATTCGAAAAAAATTAAATTTATACAAACTGATGATGCTTCCATGTAAATAAATAATCAGTGATGGCTTTGGAGTCCTTGAAAAGGCATTTTTTCCTATATATGTCTATTTTCAAACTTTAATCCCTTATTGTGGCGGCACCTTTACCAAGGGGTCCTAATTTTAACAAGCTTTAATCTACACTACCCGAAGATAATTCCATATAAATATGACCAATCATGGCTTTGCTTTTCCTAGCACAAGACTTGAAGAGTTTCCCTATGTATTTCCTATATTTCGAATTGTATTCTTTATGTTAAAATCAATCATCCATTGTGGCTGCACACTATCCACTGAGGCTCATGAAGTAAGCAGATTTGAATTTACCCATCTACTCCGGTTTTTTTGCTTCCATATGAATATGATCAACGATGGCTTTGCTGTTCTTGTTTATTTTTTGTTGTTTATTATTTTTTTGTTGTATTTTATTATTTATTGTTTAGTTTTTGTGTGAATGTATGGTTGTTTAGTTTCTGTTTATTATTTTTTTGTTGACTATGTTTTGACGGTAGTGGGTTACCATAGACGGGTGTAGTGTGTAAACTATTTTTAGCGTGAGGCGTGAGTATAAAAGTGACCGGTTAGGCCAGAGTGGTCAGATAAGGGAGCGGTAACAACACCAGCCGTATGCCACGTTTGTACTTGTCCTATACGTTCTCAGGGTGTGGCGAATTCTACAGTTTATAGGGACTGTTTAACTGGTAGCCATAAGAATAAGAAAGGCTTGTTTAAACTGGCATATTTTTCTGTCTTCCCTATCTCACTAGCCGGTAAGCGTATTTGTTTTGTTGGTCAGTTTTCACTGCTTTAAGTATGTTCTTTTGTTTTGTTTTTTCTCTGTGTAAAGTTATTCTAGGGTTAGTTAAACGTATGATATTTTCAGTGCGTACAGCGTAATTAGACGCGAGGAGTGTTTAGTAAATACTCGACGACTAAGGTTTTATTTGTCTTTAAATTACAAAGCTTAATTGTCATACTAATTTAACACTTTATATGGTTCACGATTTGAGTAATTTGATCGTATGTTTTGTACATTTATTGTGTGAAGTTCTAAAATTGGATTCACAACTTTTCATGTCATCGTATGCAAAGTGAAAGTAGAACGAGTACATGTAATACATGCATATCCTTTCGTATTTAATTATGCCCTTGTTGAAATAATTGCATAAATGTTGTTAAAAGAGTATGAACCATTAGATGTTTTGTTTAAATTACGTTTTTCACCAGTAGTTTACCTGTATTGTGCAGACATGTGTTGTAGGCTTGCAGACAGTCTATTTTTCTATTTACATGGCAGCGCATTGCATTATGGTATACCTCCGGTTTATTTTACTCTTGATCAGCGGTGTATATTTATACACCCTTGGGGTTTTGTAATGAAGCAAAAATGAACAGTTATAAGGTAATTAATTAATTAATTATTGTTGAATGAATTCAAGTCAGGTTATTTTATGGTGAAATACTTATTTTTGATCTAAATATTTGAATGGAACTATTTTCCGTATAAGATTTTCCGTATTTTTCGTATATTCCGTAAGAATTTATACGAATTCGTAAGAGTTTTGTATACGAATTTTTACTAGAGTATAAAAGGGGAGATTCTTCCGTAAATCGGGGAGTCTGCTATTTTTGATGTTAGGGTTAACGTAATTATTTTGGGCTTTTAGACAAAATTGGTAATTATTTGCTAATTCTTAAATCAGTTAATTGTAATTCGGTAATTGGTTTAATTTAATTGGGGAAAGTTTATTTTTACCAGCTTTGGGGATTTATTTACGATCATATGTCTTGATTATTTCAGGATCCAATCGTATCTGAATTTCCAGTTGTTAATAATCTTTTATTCATCATGTTCATTGATAATTAAGTTTAAAAGATAGGTTTTAGCCATATATTTCGATTATTTCGAGATCCGGCTGTTTATTAGAATTTATTTAATATTGTGAAATTTGTCAGTAAAAAGGGTGGGTAAAAGGCCTGGATATTATTATTATTTTTTTTTTTTTTGCATTCAAATTGTTCATGTTGGTTTTGCAGACTCAATAAATTTATAAAAAAAATAATATCGAGTTTAGAGTTGTTTACTCAGGGTTTAAAAAGGGAGTTAACTCCTGTCTTCTAGAACCACTATAGCAATACTTAAATGAGATAGTCATTGGACGCTATCTCGCTACACATACAAAATTCCAAAGAACTCATTACGATTGTGTACACAACATTTGAATTGTATAATTTCCATTTGTATTTTTTTTTTAAATATTTGTATTGTTTGAATTTTTTTGTATTCTAACTTTTATTTTCCATTTGAATAGTATTTTTTTTGAAAATTTGCATTCTATATTTTTCCATTTCAACTTAAAGGTACTTGGACACAGATTTGAAGTTATTATTTTCTCTATGATATTACAACTTATATATTTTAATAGCATTTCACACAAAAATTAATTAAAAATCTTATTTCGTTTAAAAGATATTGAAATTTCAAATTTTTCGGCGGGTTTGATTGACATTAGTTACCAAAAATGAATTTTTCTAGTAAAATATCAAAATATGAAACATGTGTGACTCTGTGGTCTTATATTTCAGGTTCACTGGGATGTATCGAGCCGATATATGAATCGAAGTACATGTGTAACAACTAGTATTTTTAATAGATAATACGTCGTCGAAATATCTAAATATTTAGCTGAAGCCACTGTAAGTATTTTTTCTCTCCATTTTATGCATAAGTTGTTTTAAAATTACTAGTATACTCTAATTCATATGAATACAAAATTGATATTAAAGGCACAGTTAGTACTTCCCCTCCATGCACTAGGCCTGGAGGACGCATGAGGCCGTTCAACAAAGAACGCCACCTTCGACCGTCATTGGCAACCATCCGCAACTCGTTCCAGCTCAGATATATATCTTTGTCTTTCATCAGAGCGTCGCCCATCGTCGGAATCCACGGATTTTCTTTCCGTTACACTGCAAACCCAGTGGGTTCCGACGATGAGCATCGCCAGTTTAATTTGGCCATCCTCTTCCTCCCTTTCCCTAAGGGGCCCATGTGAGAGCTGTGCTTTTATGTGACCTGGTTTCTCTTCGAAGGATGTGGCCATCTCCGGATCCACTCCTTCCTTTGATCACCCTTGATAGTGATACGAACCTTATTTTGTCGTACAATTTTTGGTTGAAGATCTTTTCTGTAAGTGTATTTTTAGGATCCTCCTACATGTAAGGCATTTTCTATGGAATGTGTCCAGCTTTTCATCGTCTTTCTCGATGGTCAGCAACACTGATAAAATATTCGTGTTAAAGATCCAATGTTTATTCTTTGTGTTGTATTGTTCTGACAATTGCATACTTAGAAAGGAATGCGAAAACAGTCCTGCCATGGCAAAGCCAATCCTCATTCCTATGTCTGTCTAAGTTCCTCTCGTCTTGTCCGTTGTGGCTTCCAGGTACAAGCAGAGGTATGTTTTAGAACGAATTCTAAGTCCTTGTTGTTTAACCTGATGGTATAAATCTTTTCCATTTATTTTCATGTTTTTTTACCACGTTAACATTAGTTTTCAAGCTCGTACTATCAACGACGTCATATATTTCGTCTTTTCTTGCATGCCGATGTGTTTGTTATCCAATCTACCACGACGATGAACAGAAACCCATACACACCCGGAACTGTCTCGCTCTTGTCTATACCTTAAACCTGACTATTGTTCTTCCATTTTCTATGACACAACTAGAACTTATCCGTCATATAATTTCCTGATTATGTGTACAATACATATATTTCAGGATCAAATCCCATACTGCCTTTATAGTATTTACCACCGTTTCTTTCTTATTTGATGTTATCTAAGGCTTTTTTTTAAAGTTTACAATGTATAAAACTTATTTACAGTGATGCTTGCCACTCTATGGATTGTTTTAATTAATAAATTTCTTAGGATATATATCTTTCGGATGTTCCTCCTTCTCTTCGATATGCAGCTTGCTCTGGTCTTTTCTGCTCTTGTCAGATCTCCTTTCTCATGTATTTTGACAATGAGCGATCTCTTCCAGTCGGTTGGTATTTCCTGTTCACTGATGATTCTGTTGAATAAATCTGTTAACTCTGATGTAGAATTTGATAAGCTCCCCTTTAGTTGTTCCTCATTGATGTTATCTATGCCAAGGCTCTTACCATATTTGATATTTTTTGGATTGTTTTTAACCTCCATTCTTATTGATAATGTGTCAATTGCAGTAATTTCAGCAATTGTGTTCTATTGCGTGATGCGTGATGGTTAATTCTGTTGTTTTTGTTGGAACATTATAAGGATCTCTTTTCTTTGCAATATTTTTTTCCGCTTTGATGATTAGCTAACCGTTTTTGAACCTTAAATGCCAATTAATTGTTCTGTTGTCTTTACTTCCATATACATATATCCTTGGTCAGTTGGTACAGGGAAACTTTTCCCAGGCGGTTTATGTTTGATATGTTTTCTGTTTTATTATTATATTCTTCAAATGTTTCCTTTTATGAGTTCTTGCT